TTTCCACTTACCCCGTTAGCAGTAATTTCGTTTTTTTTGGGTTGACTTTTTTGGTTCAATGATAAACTAAAATTTACGTAGTTATTATGTCACCGGCCCAAATACCAAATTACCGGGTAGGAAAGTTCATTATTTGCGATGTATCAAGATAAACAAATGACGTCACCGTCCAATACTGTCCACTGGCCATCCAATACGCAGTCAAAGGAATAGGTTACATTTTTATATTATTATTAACACATCGTCGATTCCACCATGGCAGGTGTGCCTACGAGAAAAACTTTCATCATCTCACTCCATCACTGTTGCAGAGTGGTGCTTACCCACGGTATCAAATCGCAACATTAACACCCCTCCTTCAGAGTGTAGACCTGTACTTCCCATCTCCAGGACTCAAGTCCGGCTGCGGTGTCCTTGAATCCTTCATAAATGTTACTTTTGCTCACCAACTCCAACAGCACGTCAAGTATTAAAAGCCATTTGTCCTCTATTCACTCCTATCAAATATGCTCATGTACACTTGCTCGAAATCCAAGCCCCTTGCACACAAAACCTCCTTTACCCTCTCCCTCCAACCCTTCCTAGGCTGACCCCTACCCCGCCTTCCCTCCACTACAGATTTATACACTCTCAAAGTCGTTCTGTTTTGTCCCATTCTCTCTACATGTCTGAACCACCTCAACAACCCCTCCTCAGCCCTCTGGATAATAGTTTTGGTAATCCCACACCATCTCCTAATTTCCAAACTATGAGTTCTCTGCATTATATTCACACCACACATTGCCCTCAGACATATCTCCACAGCCTCCAGTCTTCTCCTCGTTGCAACATTCATCACCCATGCTTCACTCCCATACAAGATTTTTGGTACAACTATACTCTCATACATTCCCCTCTTTGCTTCCACAGACAAAGTTTATCTCCACAGACTCCTAAGTGCACCACTTACCCTTTTCCCCTCATCAATTCTGTGATTCACCTCATCCTTCATAGACTGATCTGCTGACATGTCCTCTCCTAAATATGAGAATACATTCACCTCCTCCATACTCTCTCCCTCCAATCTGATATCCAATCTTTCATCACCTAATCTTTTTGTTTTCCTCATAACCTTACTCTTTCCCATATTCACTTTTAATTTTCTTCTTTTGCATACCCTACCAAATTCATCCACCAACTTCTGCAACTTCTCTTCAGAATCTCCAAAAGCACAATGTCATCAGCAAAGAGCAACTGTGACAACTCCCACTTTGTGTTTGATTCTTTATCTTTTAACTCCACACCTCTTGCCAAAACCCTAGCATTCACTTCTCTCACAACCCCATCTATAAATATATTGAACAACCACGGTGACATCACACATCCTTGTCTAAGGCCTACTTTTACTGGGAAATAATCTCTGTCTCCTACATACTCTAACCTGAGCCTCAGTATCCTCATAAAAACTCTTAACTGCTTTCAGTAACCTACTCCTTACCATACATGACATCTGCCACATTGCTCCCTTATCCACCCTGTCATATGCCTTTTCCAAATCCATAAATGCCACAAAAACCTCTTTACCCTTATCTAAATACTGTTCACCTATATGTTTCACTGTAAACACTTGTCTTCACACCTTTCCTAAAGCCTCTTTGTTCATACTACTATCCTACTTTCTGTCTTACTCTTATTCTTTCAATAATAACTCTACTATGCACTTTACCACGTATGCTCAACAGGCTTTTTTTTTTTTTTAAACAAGTCGGCCATCTCCCACTGAGGCAGGGTGACCCAAAAAGAAAGGAAATCCCTAAAAAGAATATACTTTCATCATTCAACACTTTCACCTCACTCACACATAATCACTGTTTTTGCAGAGGTGCTCAGAATACAACAGTTTAGAAGTATATATGTATAAAGATACATAACATATCCCTCCAAAACTGTCCAATATCCCAAACCCCTTCTTCAAAGTGCAGGCATTGTACTTCCCATTTCCAGGACTCAAGTCCGGCTATATAAATAACCGGTTTCCCTGAATCCCTAATACCAATCGTCTCCATTCACTCCTATCTAACACGCTCATGCACACTTGCTGGAAGTCCAAGCCCTCACCCACAAAACCTCCTTTACCCCCTCCCTCCAACTTTTCGAGGACGACCCTACCCCACCTGTCTTTCCCTACAGATTTATACGCTCTCCATGTCATTCTACTTTGATCCATTCTCTCTAAATGACCAAACCACCTCAACAACCCTTCTTCAGCCTCTGACTAATACTTTTATTAACTCCACACCTCCTAATTTCCCACACTCCGAATTTTCTGCATGATATTTACACCACACATTGCCCTTAGACAGGACATCTCCACTGCCTCCTTGCTGCGGCATTTACAACCCAAGCTTCACACCCATATAAGAGTGTTGGTACTAACTATACTTTCATACATTCCCTTCTTTGCTTCCATAGATGACATTTTTGTCTCCACATATACCTCAATGCACCACTCACCTTTTTTCCTTCATCAATTCTATGATTAACCTCATCCTTCATAAATCCATCCACTGACACGTCAACTCCCAAATATCTGAAAACATTCGTATCTTCCATACTCCTCCCGAATTTGATATCCAATTTTTCTTTATCTAAATCATTTGATACCATCATCAACTTACTCTTTTCTATGTTCACTTTCAATTTTCTACCTTTACACACACTCCCAAATACGTCCACTAACCTTTTGCAGATGGGGTTGTAAAAGAAGTAAATGCTAGGGTGTTCGATAGAGGGGTGGGATTAAATTATGGGTAATCAAATACAAAATGGGAAGTGACACAGTTACTTTTTGCTGATGAATCTCCCATAAGCACAGTATCATCAGCAAAAAGTAACTGTGTCACTTCCCATTTTGTATTTGATTCCCCATAATTTAATCCCACCCCTCTCCCGAACACCCTAGCATTTACTTCTTTTACAACCCCATCTATAAATACATTAAACAACCATGGTGGCATTACACATCCTTGTCTAAGACTTACTTTTACTGGGAAGTAGTCTCCCTCTCTTCTACACACCCTAACCTGAGCCTCACTATCCTCATAAAAACTCTTTACAGCATTTAGTAACTTACCACCTATTCCATATACTTGCAACATCTGCCAC